ATTGATTTAATTGCTCCCACTAAAGTGAAGGTTGTGTCTGTAGGAACAAAATATGTGCCAACAGTCAGATCTGCAAGACGACTCTGTGGTAGAACCGACCGTAAATGGAGTAAAACTCAACTTCACGTTTATCATGAAATCTATAAAGACTGAACTAAAGCATTCAAGGGAAACGCTCTTTGCAGAAACCGCAAACAGAAACATGAAGAATGATTGAGTTTTATTTGCCACAGTTGACAGGCTCACAAACCAGCTGACCTGCAATCAAACACGGCCTGCACATTTCTTCAGAGGAAATTAGAAAATTAGAGGATTAATCTGCACATCCGCACTAAATCCAATATCAATATCAACAAAGGCAGAAAAAAAATGACACAATTTCAAATATTCAACTATAAAAACTTTGAGTAAATTATAACCAAATTCAGCTCCTGTCTTGATATCACACCCACAGCTTTTCTTCAGAAAGTCCTGCCTGTCATTTCATCTGGTCTGATTCAAATAGTAACTCATGGCTCTCATCAGGCGTTTTCCCCCAGCAGTTTTCAAACCACTGATATAAAAACAACCATCTGAACAAATCATTCCTGCAGAATTACAGGCCGATCTCCAACCTTTCATTCATCAGCAAAATGACTGAAAAGCCGTTTCAACAATTAACTGCAAAACAACCGAAACACTGAGTTCCTTTAAATCTGGACTAAAACCCGGCTGGTCAGATTTGCTTTGAAACTAAATAAATGAAACACTGAACAACATTTTGATGTGTGACGACGGCACTTTGACTGAATGTACCGTTTACTGGTTTACTGAAGCACTTTGAACCGCCTTGGTGCTGAAATGTGCTTCACAAATAAACTTGATCGATTGGTTGATTGATTCTAATCTGCAGCAGGCAGTTCGACATCCTGCCTGAGACGCTCCCACGTCAGACGGAGCTCAGACGTTTTCACGAACACAACCGGCGGTACCAGAAGCTGGTCCAATGACCGTGGTGCTACTGGGCTTGGTTGGCCAGCAAACGGGCCTGACCAGAACCTCAGAGAGAACCTGTGGAGTCAAGAGGAAGATTTCATGCAGAAGGAGCCATTTTATGAGGCTCCACCTGTTTACTGCACAGATTCAGCGCTGGTGCAGAGTTTCTGCTGCTTCTCCTTATCAATCAGCCAATCAGATTTATTTTATAGCTCATTTCAGCAACAAGGCTGTTCAAAGTGTTTTACATCATTCAAACACAAAAAACAACCATTCTTGGTTTTATTGGCTCCTCAGCAGCAAGTAGAAAATATAAACATCACCAACTGTGTAGCAGCAGCTCTATGATCTGAGACCAGAAACTGTTTCCACTTTTTTAGTTTGTAACATTTAACATGTTTATCAGCAGATCATTTTTAATTTGAACTCTAGTGAATATTAGTGTTTGATGAAAGTGGAGTCCTACCTGAGCTGCAGAGACACAGAAGCAGCATCAGAGCCGTTTGCTCCATGTTTCCTCTGATGTGGAGTGAAGCTTCGTCTCTTGATGTGATCAGGATGTGGCTCCAGACTCTGAAGACTTCCTACTTTAAGCTTTTTTATCTGCTGCTTCCTGAACGTCACAGTTCAGGTCTTTGGCTGCTTTCAGAGACGACGCCTCCTTCCTAGGAGCTCATCATGAAGATGGTTCATACTGGGCCTACTGGGATTCAGAGGTTTCACCAGTCTCTGTTGTTCCTGTGTTTAGTTCAGTCCTGGTTCTGCTTGTGGCCGGAGTGGATCCAGGTGTGTCATCCACTGAAAGGGAACCTGATGTTGTTGGCAGCAGCAGCTCAGCTTCCCTCCAGGAAGGGGTCACAGCTGAACAGAAATGAGCCCAGGTGTAGCTGCTATGAGGAGGAGAAACAGAGAGAGAACATGAGCTTAATGTCAGCATGACTGCAGACGATGGAAGGATGGAGAGAGTAGGAGAAAGTAGCAGAGGGAGGAGAAGTGGTCAGTTTGTCCTCCAGGAGGATTCCTGGAACATCTTCAGATTATAAATCTGGAACATTTCAATTTATTTTTCATAAGACATTTTCTGTCATTTTATTTCAGATTTAGTCTTTGGCCATCAGAGCAGAAAGGCTTCATAGAGGCAGAGGGAAATCTAAACATGAATCTGGATGTTCAGCCTCTGTGAGCTGAGTGATGCTAATCTGGACTGAAGCTTCAGCAACATTATCAGGTTTATTGCAACATAACGAGGTTTTTAGGGTAAATCTAAACTTTAGATCTTCAACAGGAAAAAGTTGTTTATTTCAAAGAGCTGAGATATTTTAGGCCCATAAAACTAAAAACATATTTTATTTAGAATATTAAACTCTACCAGCTCCTTTATGTTGCTGCAGCAACATGCATTCATATTAGCTGAACCTCTGCAGCTCTGATCTAAAGTTTGATAGTCGGGTCGGGATTCTGTGGTGCATTTTTAATAAGTTTTGTTTTTCTGGTATTACTAATTGCTCCCTTTGTCTACTTTCATTTTATACCTTCACAGTTTTTAACACATTTTTATGTTTATCATATTGTGATTTTTATTCTTTTCTGTTGTGGTGGATACAATGTATATATTTCACATGTGAATGTATGCTTTTATTGTGAAGGGGAGAAGGTGTCATTCATTACATTTTTGGTTGGAAGGCATTGAGAATAAATCAAGACTCAAATTACTTTTTCATCTTTTTCTTTTTTTTAGCAGTCGTGGCCACAATTCTATTAATCTGCTATTAGTCAAACTAATTCTTAGCTTATCATTAAAACTAAGCTAAACACTCATTTGAGTGGAAATATTTCCAAGCAGCCAACCTGAAAAACGTCATTGTAAAACTTGCAGCATTAGGTGGGGGAGGGGCAGGGACGCTCTGCAGAAGAAAAGCAACAGCACAAAGCAAAGTATTTGAAGCTGATTTTTAAAAATAACATAAGTAAACAGAAAATACACAAAAACTTCAAGTCGTGGTTTAAATTCTCTTTAATCCTATTTAACTCTTTACAAAGCTGCAGATATAAAACAGACATTCCTCTAAACTAAACTTCTTCAGTTTTAACCCTAAATGTGTTTTTTAAATACGGTTTCCATGGTAACTAACTTATAACTCCCCAAACAAACAGCGATGATTTACCACAGCAAATATACAATCATTATTCATAAAAAAGAAATCTGACAGTCAGAACATGGAGACACTTCCATCTTTAACAAGAACATGTTTGACCTCTGACCTTTAAATACGTCACTAAAACAGAAAATAAAGCTACAATTTTATAAACTTTTTCAAATGTTTCTTCCTGCCAGAAATTATTAACCAGCTGGGTCCAAAGTTTTTAGTGTTTTACAAGTAAAACATGCAAAAAGTTCATAAAAATGCAGTAAAGTTGTTTTATTTGTGTAGAGAAAGATTCTGACAATCACTTTCTCTGTGTAGTAAAAAGGGCAGGACCTAGTCAGGCTCGCCAAATTTAGTCAAATTTAATCTATAAAAGCAGAAAATGAGTCAACAAAAGAGAAACCGTCTTAGTGTCAAAACCTAATTTAAAAAATGATCTTTCTGTTAAAAATCCTCCTAATCTGTCAGGTTTCTGTTGTCAGTTGACTCCATTATGTAGTTTTAAACGGAGGTCCGTTTATGTGGCAGCATACTAAGGCCGTTGTAGAAAGAAAGAAAAAATTTTAATTTCCACCAAAAAAATCCAGAACTTTTCAAGAAATAAACTTGGAAATTTCAGTTTCAAAGATGATTTTTTTTTTTTTTTTTACTTTCCAAGTTGTTTTCTAGAATATTTTTGAGATTAATTTCAAAATTTCAGGTTTTCCTTAGCAAATTTTTGACTTTTCAAACTCAGAAATTTCCTTGTTTTTTATATATAAAAACTTCAAGATAAAATCAAAATTTCTGAATTTTTGGCAGAAATTTACTTCTCTTTTATATCTACAATGGCCCAAATACACCGTTGTACATTCACACCAGTCCTGTTTGGTCCGCTTTAATTGAACTCTGGTTTGCTTGCCTAGCGGTGGACTACAGCGCAGGGCATTCTGGGTAAATACAACTAAAACAAACACGCTAGCCTAGCGCTAGCAGGAGAAGCGGCTTGTGGTCTTTAGCCAAAAACAAGAGAAATCCTCCAACCTCTAAAATCTGATGATACTCCATCTCTGTTTACATTTCATGAAGAAGGAAGTTGGCTCAGCGTCTTCAGAGGTTTTTATGTTATTTCGTTCAGTGGCTCTCGGTGCAGCGCCCCCACCGGCCCGGAGGGGAACAGGCTGCTCAAAGGGTTTGATTGGTTTGAAAAAGTAACAGCAGCTGGAAGTGGAAGAAATGTTGCAATTTTGGTCCCAAATCGAAGATAAAAGAAAACTTCATGTTTTTAATTAAATACTGTTCAACTTCAACTCACTTTACTTCGACCAGCGCTTAAAAAAAAAAGTTTGATCATAATTTTGTTGAATTTAAAGATATCATTTATTGATAGATATGTGAAATTTGATTAAAAAAACCTACTTTATAAACACATAATGTTTGCATCTCTTTGCTGAACATTTCTATTGAAACTATTTGAGATTTCTATATTTCTCCTTGGTTGTAAAAAGCATAAATAGATTATTTTGTTTTAAAAGTTTAGCGTTTAAAATTGTTAAACTTGATTCTTATAATTCAGAAAACAGGAGCAAGAAAAGGAAATGTTGCAGACAGACTTAAACCTTGTTGCTGGTCAGGATAACTTTCCTACAGTCAAGTTCGACCTTTGACCCCCCACTTTGCAGCGACCAGCTTTTGGAGACTCCTGGTGGGGAATCCTCTTGGTGCTGATTCACAGCAGCATTTGTGAGTCCAGTTTTTAAACATGCCATCAGTTTTTCTTGTGTTTAAATGTTTTGTGTTATTCTTGTGTTAGCTGGTCCCACTGAGCGATCCCCGTCTGTTCAGGCTCTGTGTGCTGCAGCTCAGGCCTCGACTGTCCGTCAGGTGGCTGGACTGAGGAGCAGAAAACACAGAATCATCATCACAACATTCAGAACAATGCAAACACTCACTGCTGATGTAAACTGAGTTTCTGTCAAGTACCAATGAGCAGTCAGTATCTTACTGGTAGAGGACAGCGGCCATGTTGATCTCAGTTTGGATAATCAGGGAGAAATGCTTGCATAAGAGTCAAAGGTAGAGGTGTGCCAATCGATCGGCCACCGATCGTAATCGGCTGATTTCCGTGAAAAAGTGATGGCCCATCACCGTCTCTTGTGGCCAATCAGCAAACCGATCACATTTATCTCACTTCGCCTGCCTGCGTGTGCAGCTGATCTCCTCTTTCCTTCACACGGCTCGAGCGCGCAGCAGCAAGTCCTAAGCCATGTGGTGAGGCACTTCAACGCTCTGAGACTGAATGGGGGATGTTTGCGTGTTGTGGCGGAAAATTACCTCTCTCGTCAAAATGCACCAACACGACGAATCTAATGTGACATTTAAAAACCAAACACTTGATACATCAAGGCTCAATGCAGGAAAACAATGACATCTGGAGGGTCATGTTTTTCCAACACTCACCAGGAAGAGCATGACGGTCAGAAAGCTAAGCAAATAATCCAAAAAATAATTGAAGTCTTTGAGCTGCGATGTAAGACGCTGGTTCTGTTCTCGGTATTGGACCGCTGCTACGCTACAGGTAGTAATATTTCACAGACGGAGCTTCGCTCAAGCTCCACCTGGTAGTGACTCTCACACTGAACCTCTGCTTAAAGCTGCAGCACCAAACTAAAACAACAAAAAAATAATTTACATATGTATTAAAACTTTCACTATGTCCTAACATAAGACAGATAATCTCTGAAAATAATGGATCTCCTCAGCCTCCTCCCTGCAGGATTACTCCGCTCAGTCAGAACCAGCATTAATCAGAACCAGCACTAATCAGAACCAGCATTAATCAGCTAGCCTCTCTCTGGAAGTTATGATTTAATGACTCAGGATTGTTTATTTTGATGCAACCTGCATTTGACAGTGAATGAATGTTTCCTTTTTTCTTGACGTTATTCGATGTTGGCAGATTTATTTTACTCATGTATAATTTATGGAACAGAGTCTTACTGTTAAATATTGTTTTACTGATTGCAGGTTTTTCAGTCGTCCTTTTGACTGAATAGCTGCTGTTCTGTGCCTGCAAGTATTTTGCATTTAAAGTGAATTTATTGGCAGATTATTTTTCCATTTTGTCGGCTCAGCATTTATACCTAATAAAAAAATGATCGGCCCTCCTGGGTGATCGGAATCGAAATCAGCAGCTACAAACCTGATCAGGTCTAAACGGCCAGAGTTTGGAAACAGCTTCAGGATCTCGTTGCAACAACATGTAAAACCTGAAAACTCGTATAAGATCAAAAACTCACTAAGAGAAAAATCTCAGAATAAAGACATGAGAAACTCATTAAAATGAAAAACATATAAGAAATAAAAAACTTGTTCAAATTAGAAAACTTTCATAATGAAATGCAAAACTTGTTAAAACAAAAAACTTTAAACTTGTGTTTAATGATGAAAATCTAATTAAATTAGAGCTTTAGCATTAGCTTCCACTAAATACCATGTCAGTGTAGCGTTAGCATGTGTTAGCATAGCGCTGTGTAGGGATGTGAAGCTTTTCTCTACCAACCGCAGCTTAAAACTGAATGTTTTGTCTTTGAAAATCACCTGGGTGCCGTCGAGATTTTCTCTGGTTCCAACGTTCAACACGTTCAGAGAGTTCGCCCTCTTCATCCTGCAAAGGAAACCAAAGATGAGCCACCAGGCAAAACTCCAGAAGCCATCTTAGATTTTTCACTCGTTGTGGCTTCAGATCAAGTTAAAGTGGGATTTCTGCTGCCGTGTTCTGGAAAATTACCCAGCATTCCTCGGGGTCATCTCCTCCATCCCGACTCCTTTGAGCTTGCGGACCAGCTTCTCGCTGCTCCGGCGTATCGACTCCCGGAGTTTGGTGAAGGAGCTGCTGCGCTTCAGTCCGTCCTGCGCGGCGCCGCCGTCCTCCATGTTGGACCAGCGGGGACGGCCGTCTCCTAGACGACAGACACGGCAACAACGACTGAAAATGAAAGATTCACTTTCCAGATGTTCAGCCGGCGTTTCCAAACGTTTTGATCTTTGGGACAAAAGATCAAAAGTCAAAAATAATTTCCTGATTGAATTAATTTATTTTTTCTTTTTAACTGCAGAGTAATAAATTAAACATGCTTTATTTTAATAAAACCAAGAAAAGAATAAATTATTGTAGGACAGAGAAGTTTTATCAAACTTAAAAGAAAAGGTTTTAGTTTCTAAACTAAATATTTTCTGTTTTATCATCTAGGAGATATTTTGTCTAAATCAGCAGCAACAATAAAAACTTTCTACTAGAAGCTTCACTTTTCAGTTGATCAATGGGATCATTGAGGCACAACTTGGTGAAAGAAAGAAAAAAAATAAGTCGAGAAATAAAGAAACAGAGAAAGAAAGGAGAAAAAGGAAAAATAAAAGTAAAGAAAGAAATACATTTTAAAGGTTTTTATTCATTTATTTACCCTCCACAGATCCGAACTCCTTTTCATGAGCTCTGGTCAGAATCTCTTTGTAAAGCGCTTCAGCTTGTCTGTATTTCCCCTGTTTCAGATAACATGACGCCTGGAAAGAAGAAACAAAAGCAGCAACACCAGTTAAAAAAAAAAACATGTCTGCTTTTGAGTTTTCTTTCCACCAGATTAGCAGGGATTAAAACCGGGATTAGAAACGGGTTTCTGCCTGGTCTCACCAGGTTGTTCTTGGTTTTGGCCACGTTGGCGTCGTCCGGCCCCAGTTTGCTCTGGTAGATGTGCAGAGCGCGTTCGTAGTACTGCTCCACTTCCTGGTACTTCCCCTGGTTCTGGCACAGCAGCGCCAGGTTGTTGAGCTGCTTGGCCACGTCGGGATGCTCCGTACCCAGAACCTGAACCACGCAGGCACAGAGAGCAGAGCCGTGACTTCCATCTGACCCGAAAGGTCGGGACCAGCTGAACATCCTAACAGGACGTAAAGCCGATTTTATGTGACACCGCCCCTTTAATAAGTGGAGCTGGAAACGCCAGGCTGATTGTTAACATTTTGGCTCTACACAAGTTTGGAAAGTAACCTGGAGCCATTTGTAGAGACTGCAGATGTTTAGAAATGACGAACCGACACGTTTGGTTCTGCTAGAGCACGGCGGTGGTGTCATCATGATGCGGGATTGTTTCAGTAACAGCAGGACGGCCATTTTGCATAAAGTGGATGAAATAATGCAGATATTTAACTTAATACTGATGCAGTTTTCTGGCCGACCGCTGGTCGCCTGAGCTGCTGATTCTGGCCAATGAGGTTAAAATGTGGCTAATTTAAGCATAAACATATTTTATTTGGTAGATGTTTATTACACTGGATTTTTGTTCAGTGTTTATTATGTAGGTCTTGTGTCTGTAGACAAAATGTGTTTAGTAAAAGCAGTTTGGGTTTATAGCAAATGGTGATCATTGGGAAGTCTCCTCGTCTTACTTTCTCTCGGATCTCCAGAGCTCGTTTACAAAGCGGCTCCGCTTCTTTGTATTTTCCTCTTTTACCATAAAGCACAGCCAGGTTGTTGAGTGTAGCTGCCACCTGCAGAAACACACAATAAAACTTTATAATTAAAGTCATTATAATACGAGAATAAAATCAGAACATTACAAGAGAAAAAACTCGTAACAATGAGAATTATGTAATAAAACTAGAATAAAAAGTTGCAATTCTGGAAAAATTGCAATAATACGAGTCTATAGTCATAATAATACAGAATAATGTTATAAATCTAGAATAAAGTCACAATAAAACAAGAGTATAAAGTCGTAATTAAAAACAAAGTTGCAGTAATAGTGGCACGGTTGTAACAGTACGAGTGAATAAAGGGTAATTATTTCCTGATTGATTAAAGATGATTTCTCACAGCTGGATGATCCATGCCAAGGGTTTTCTCTCTGATCGCCAACGCATCGTTCAGCAGGTTCGCTGCCTCTTTATATTTATTCTGATCTCTGCGATTTAACCAAGAATCAGTCAACAAAACAGTGAAATTCTAACATGAATTAATAAATCACCAAAACTTTATTTTTCTTTACCTCATTTAATCCAAACTGAACCATAATATCCTTATTTTTCTGTTTTTACTTATTTTTCTTTGTTTTTTGTTGGATTTTGTGACATTTCTAAGCAAATTAGATAAATATCTCTTACTTTAAGAAGGCCAAGAGGTGGGTAGAGTATATAAAAACTATACTAAAATACTTCAACACCCTGGTGTGTGCCGCCTCACCTGTACACCAGAGCCAGGATGTTGAGCATGGTTGCTACGTCTGGGTGTGTGTGACCAGAGGACTTCTCCAGGTCTTCCAGAGCCTGTTGGGTGACATCATCAGCTCTGCGGCCGTTTTGGTCAGAAACAGGAGCAGACGGCGAGCCGCCGGTTTCACCTGCTTGCAGAGCGGCACGGCGACCTCGTAGCGACCCTGCGACGCGTACTGGATGACCAGGTTGTGGAGCGTCCGGAGGCGGGCGGGGATCTCGTAGCCGCCCTGCTGGGCCGCCGCCGCTGCGCTGCTGTGATGAGGCTGGGACACTGGAACAAAACAAATACATGAGTTCTTGAACAGTTTAGGATAAATCAATAATAAATCAATAACATGTTCATTACATGTTTTGCACAAAATCATTCTTAGACTTTAGTCTGATCAATTCAGAATGATCTCTGTCACTTTAGATCCAGATAAGCTGCTGCCTGCCACGTCCACCAAATCAACATTTACACGTGAAATTGGCTGCAAACGGATACTCAATTATACAACTGTACATCTTTGAAAAGCAGAAGTGGAGCCCCCTGGAAAACCAAGAAGACAGCAAGCAAGTGATTTCTGGATGGTAAATCAACAACAAAACACGTGACTTTTCCAGCAGCCATTGTACTGCACATACACTACAAAAACACAAAATCTTACCAAGTATTTTTGTATAGTTTCTAGACCAAATATCTAAGAAAACTTGAAATAATATAAAATTAACTCACAAGCAAGTTTTCAGAAAGATATAGGAGCTTGTTTTAAATTAATAATCCCACTGGCAGATTATTTCACAACGTAGAAAAAATGTCTTGTAATAAGTTAAATTATTAAGAAATCAGCTTCAAATCTAAAACTTACAAACAAATCTGAAATAAATCTGATGCATCAATAATGTGACTCACTAACTTTATACTTTTTTCTTTAAAACAATATCCTCCTATTCAGCTCTTTTTCTTTTAAAGTTTTATTGGCTCTAGTGGCCTTTACTTGAAAGCAGTTCGACAGGAAACAGGGTAATGAGAAAGGGAGAAGACATGCGGCGAATGTCGCCACACTGGGAATCGAACCTGCGACTACCACCACAAGGACTAAGGCCTCAATACGAGGGTTGTGCCCCGCCCCTGCGCCGCCCCAGGACCCTTCTTTAGGTTTTTAACATTTTATGGCAGCAAGACTAACATAACAGGTTTTCTTCTTTACTGATCAACACAAATGTATTTTAGTTGCCTTCTAAGTTTTGGAAAACAGGCTTTCTGCAGCCCAGCCATTTCTCCAGAATCAGAACGCGACAGTCAGCGTAATCTGAAATCGTAACGTCTTACTCTGGGACGGTTCCTCGTCTTCAGCAGGAAACAGATCATCCAGAGACTCCTTGTTGGAGGAAGTTTCTTTCTCATCCTGAAATAAAAAGCAGCACAAACATTTAAAATGGCTCCAGCAGACACTGAAAAAGAAAGTACACCCTCTCTCTTGTTGGGTTTCATGTATCAATTAGGGATGCTCCGATCAGGTTTTCTGCTGCCGATTCCGATACCGCTACTATAAATGCTACTATGTGATGTGACAAAATAAAAAAAATGATCTGGCAATAAATTCACCTAAATTAGGCATAAAACATGCTAAAAACTTGCAGGCACAATACAGCAGCTATTAAGTCAAAAGGACGACTGAAAAACCTGCAATCAGTAAAATAATATTTAACAGTAAGCCTCTCAGTTCCATAAATTATACATGAGACAAATAAATCTGCCTAAATCAAATAATGTCAAGTAAAAAAGGAAACATTCGCTCAAAGTCAAACGCAGGTTGTATCAAAAATAAATTGGCTAGCTGATTAATGCTGGTTCTGATTGCTTGTTTCTTATTGGCTAGCTGATTAATGCTGGTTCTGATTGGTTGTTTCTTATTGGCTAGCTGATTAATGCTGGTTCTGATTGGTCGTTTCTTATTGGCTAGCTGAATAATGCTGGTTCTGATTGGTTGTTTCTTATTGGCTAGCTGAATAATGCTGGTTCTGAGTGGCTGGTTCTGACTGAACAGAGAAATTCTGCAGAACACAGGAGGAGGAGATCGATTATTTTTTAGAGATTATCTGTCTCATGTTAGGACAGCGAAAGTTTTAATACGTATGTAAAATGTATTTTTTTAGGTTAGATGCTTTAAGCAGGTTCGGTGTGAGAGTCACTACCAGGTGGAGCAGAAGCGAAGCTCCGTCTGTGAAATATTACTACCTGTAGCGTAGCAGCGGTTCAACAGGAGAGCAGAACCAGCGTCTTACATCGCAGCACGAAGACTTAAATAATTTTTCAGGTTATTTTGTTTAGCTTTCTGGGTGTTTGTAGCTGTGCGCTGCTTCACTGGCTGCTCCAGATGTCATTGTTTTCCTGCATTGAGCCTCGATGGAGCCAAACTCTGTCAAGTGTTTGTTTTTTAAATGTCACATTAGATTCGTCGTGTTGGTGCATTTTGACGAGCGAGGTAATTTTCCGCCACAACACGCAAACATCCCCCATTCAGTCTCAGAGCGTTGAAGTGCCTCACCACATGGCTTAGGACTTGCTGCTGCGCGCTCGAGCCGTGTGAAGGAAAGAGGAGATCAGCTGCACACGCAGGCAGGCGAAGTGAGATAAATGTGATCGGTTTGCTGATTGGCCACAAGAGACGGTGATGGGCCATCACTTTTTCACGGAAATCAGCCGATTACGATCGGTGGCCGATCGATTGGCACACCTCTACCTTTGACTCTTATGCAAGCATTTCTCCCTGATTATCCAAACTGAGATCAACATGGCCGCTGTCCTCTACCAGTAAGATACTGACTGCTCATTGGTACTTGACAGAAACTCAGTTTACATCAGCAGTGAGTGTTTGCATTGTTCTGAATGTTGTGATGATGATTCTGTGTTTTCTGCTCCTCAGTCCAGCCACCTGACGGACAGTCGAGGCCTGAGCTGCAGCACACAGAGCCTGAACAGACGGGGATCGCTCAGTGGGACCAGCTAACACAAGAATAACACAAAACATTTAAACACAAGAAAAACTGATGGCATGTTTAAAACCTGGACTCACAAATGCTGCTGTGAATCAGCATCAAGAGTTCCACATCGCTTAGGATTTGCTGCTGTGTTTGTGCAGTGTGAAGGAAAGAGGAGACCAGCTGCACACGCAGACTGCGAATGAGATACAGGTGATCGACGATCACTTTTTAAAAAACTTTTTCACGGAAATCAGCTAATTATGATCGGTGGCCGATCGATTTGCACACCTCTAGTATCAATATATGGGCCCTGACATCAGCATTAGTGACGTTTGTCCAGAAAGTGATTGCAGCTGCTTAGTCAGGGAAACTGTTTCTCTTCTTTCAGTGGTTTAAATGTAAGTGTTTGGTTCCCTGAACAGTCGGATCGGTGAGGAGTCTGTAGGTTGCTGGTTCTCACCAGAGGCGGCTCGTCCTGGTCGTATTTGCGTATGGAGGACATGAACTGCAGGTGTTTGTTCTGCTCCTCCAGGGTCACGACCTCCTGCTCCTTGTCCTGCAGCCGCTGCTGAGCGCCAGCGAGTTCGTCCCTCAGCCACTGGTTCTCCTGAACGAGGCGGCGCACCTGACGGTGGACCAGAGGTGGGTACAGTACCAAACATTTTACTCAAGTAAAAAAGTGTTTGGTAAAAAGTCGACTCAAGTACTGAATAACTGATCAAATTATCAAACATTTAAAAATTACATCATCAGATGGACCAAAATATAAAAGTGGAAATTTTGGCACTTTAACTACAAAAAAGACAATAATTCATATAAGTGATGAAAAATAATAAAATCAGGCAAAAGAAAATTTGACTAACTTCTGTGGAGAAATCTGGATGTGGAGTCGGAGCTCAGCTGTGATGCGTTCACTGACTCAGACTCAGTCAGTTTCTAATTATACATTTCTTCCATTGTTGACGTCCAGATTTACCGACTGCGGCGTCTTCTGGTGCAGAATTATGAGTCATGTCTCGTCAATGACGTAAAGGTTGGACAAAATGCGACATGAGCGTTCTGACTGAAGAGCAGAGGTGCAGAAAAAAAATCGATTCTTTAAAGAATCGCAATCCCTAATCCTGGGAATTCGTAGTTGATCCAAAATGCTCACAAATAGATTTAAAAAGCATTTCAGTTGTATGTCGCTGCTGCTCCTATTTGCATATCACATCATGGATTCACTCAGCCGCTGGATGTGTGAGGATTAATTGATATTTTTTTATTTAAGAAAAAGCAAGGCAGCTAAGCTAACCTAATTCTGGTAGTTTAAATATTTTTGTTTAGACATCAACCGATTGATACATTATGGAACCTTATAGAATTGTTTGTAATAAATGTTTTATTTGTTTACACAGTTTTTCCTCTTCAGTCACAGGATTTAAACAAAACCTCCAGACCATTTGAATACAAAAATTGGTTTCTGAATTAAAAAAAGCTTCTGAGTCAAATTTAACTCTAAACGCTGGAATCAAATCGCTAGACACTGAAAAATATACATCTCTGCTGCAAAGGCTTTGACAATTATCACATACGTTAACTTATATCCGTACAGAAGTGGAACAAATCCTTTTTTTGGGGGGGTGAAAAGTTTGGAATCGGGCCGTTCAGACTGCCGTGACAAAGACGGATATGGATCACATTCGCCTGCTGTCTGATCAAAGCCTAAGATCTGATTTTAGTCAAAATCCAAGCAAAAGATTTGGTAATTTAAGCTACAGAACTTAAAAAAATCTATGATTTCATTCACAGACAGCCACACGTCTTACCTGAGCTCGTAACTTTTGCTTCTCTGCCTCCAGTGAGCCAAGATGAGACGACAGAGCCATCATCACCTGCACGGAGTATTAAAATTAACTAGGAACTCTAGATGAATAAAGTTTTATAATCTTAATCTGAAAAGTCTAATGACAAGTGTTATTTTTGTAGCACATTTCACAGGTATGGAACCGAGAAAGGACTTCCCATGGTTCATCAAAACCAATTTGAAACAGAATCAACGATAACAGCAATCAATCAGGAAAACATTGCAAAAGTTTGTCACTGGTCACATTTTGGGAAAAAAAGTCTTAGAGGAGTCTAAAAGTCGCTAAATAGAAAGGAAGTTTGTTAACCTGCCAACAGTGATTTCCTCCCACTTAACCCACTTGGCCACGCCCCTCAGTGGTTTGTGGCTCCGCCCACTTTAGGGGAACTTTTACAAATTTGGGGGCGAAGCTATTCTATTTACAGTTTAGAATAACTTCTAGAGCAGCAGCGTGCAGTCTCTAGATCGACGGTCTAAAAAGTCACTATATGTAGTGACAAAGTCGATAAAATATTTATATTTATTTCATTATCTAAGAATAATGAAATAAAAGCTCCTGAACTAGAAATATCAGTTTCATTTGCACTTTTAAGTCTTTTTTAAAGGGCCTATCTTTATGTTTCTGTGCAAATGTTACCATTTTTGTGTACTTTTATTTAATTCTGCAACATTTTGCCAAAAAAACAAAACTGTCTCAGAGCTGCCGTCTTTGGGTTGGACAGCAGATACTGCAGTTGAATTTTCCTATTGGTTACATCAGTACCGCTTGCTTAGCGTTACACACTAGGTTGGGTATAAAGGCACTGGCTGCTCGCTCTGGACACAGCAGAGCTGCAGAGTGACAGGGAACTTTCACATGTTGCCATAAAAGTCTTTGATATCTCAGAAAATTGATTTATTTTCTAGATAGTCATATTTTGTAAAAATACAAAAAAGTCGCTAGAGGGGTCAGAAATGTCACTAAAAAGAGCAACAAATTCGTTAAGCTGCCAACATCGCTTTCCCCCCACTTAATCCACTTGAGGCCCCGCCAACTGAAGAGGAAATGTTTCTAAATTTGAGGCGGGGTTTTCCTAGTTACAGTTTAAAATAACGTCTAAAACCACAGTGTGCCCTCTTTAGCTGAACATGGCTATTGCACCTGAAAAAAAGTTGAAAGATTTGTCACTAGTCACTGTTTAGAAAAAAGTCATTAGAGGAGTCTAAAAAGCTCAGTGTATCTTGGCTCCGCCCACTTTAGGGGAATTTTTCCAAAATTGGGGGCGGGGCTAAGATAGTAATTTTAAAGTAACTTCTGAAGCAGCATCGTGCGTCGCAGGTTTGACGTACTTGCGCCTCGCTCAGCCCCAGCTCGATCCTCTCCAGCGACTGTCGGATGATGCTGCTCTTCTCCTGCTCCACGCCGCCGCCGCCGTGAGACGCCGGGTGGCTCTCCATCGCCTCCTGCAGGTCGTCCAGCAAACTGCAGTTCTCCCCTTTCAGAGCTTCCAGCCCTGCGATCACCTGCTGCGTGCTGCACAGGATCTCCTCCCCCGACAGCATGCTTCCTGCTTCGATGCTGCTGCTCAACCTGCGACTGACCTGAGAACAGCAGAAAGAGGGTTGAAACAGCGAAAAGGGGAACGAAGAGGAATTGCTGCTATTGAAAAATAGGAGGAAATATTGAATTACATTGAGCTGCAGACAATAACAACAATAACCTGGTTCACAGCTGACAGAAACTAAACAACTTCTGCTTTATGCTGAACAAAAATAACACAAACAGCTTCCTCTTCTACCTTGATTAATAAAAATATATAAATGTTTCTCTGAATGAGTTTGGACAAATTATTTAAAAGCTTTTAATGAAGAGAAAAAATAGAATTTTAAAAATTAAGATTTGTTTTAAATGATTTCAAATTTATCTTAATTAATAAAAACCTTAAATCTCAATGAATTTCCATTATATTCTTATAAAAACAGACCTAAATAAAATAAAAGCATAGTTTTAGGTATAGGATATATTATTAATCATCTATTATTAACAACCTGTTAATTTCTCTGAGGTCTGTTTATGTAAGCTACCTGACAAACCTGAGAAAAAACTATGAATCAGACTAAAAATCAACAAATTGCAGGTCAATATATCACCAATTTGGACAAAGAGGAATCTGAAAAATTCTGTATTAAGTGGAAAAAATAATTTAAAAAGTAGCAAAAAAAAACAACCCCAAATTGCCTTTTGATATAAAAGGCAATTAATGCAAATTCTCAGAAAAAGCTGGTGATAGTAGAAACTGACTTAAAATGACCAAAAACCATATAACCGAGTCTTTAATTATATTCTCATTAGCGTTGGGACTTTAGTTAATTTCAATTATTTAATTACATGGATTTTAAATCAATAAATCACATTTTCCTCTTTTACATGCAAAAGTCCAGAGCCAGAACCTTTATGTTTGCATGTTTCTGGTACACCGGTAAATCTGACGCACAAACAGCAACAGATGACAAATCTGCTTCTCTTGAACACTAGAGTCTTGTTATTCCCTTATTAGATAAAAGGATATTAATAATAATACTATTTATTCTCAGCAACAAAAGGATGCTTGTTTCATTTAGCAATAAAAATATCATTAAAAGCAGATTTGGTGCTTCTGAGTAAAAGTCTAAGGAAATCCGAGTTCCTGTTTATTATTAAACTAAAACAAACAGAAGACAAATACTTTGTGTATCTTTTCATTGTTAAAATATTTTAATTTCTCAGTAATATTTGACTCTAATTAATAATATATCCATCATCACCTTTACTCTTGGATTAAATTTGCACCATTCTTAAACTGCAGTTGCTAATTAGAGCAAAAACATGCAAATTGTTAGATTACTAGATTATCTGAGGTTTTCAGCAGGAGACTTTGACTCATCCACAGGTGGAGAATAAAGGAAGTTGTAGGTTTGATGGAAACAAACCGGAGGGAACAAAGAGGGAACAACTCAATAACAGTCAAATAAAAATATAAAAAACCGACGACTGGTGAAAACAAGACATGAAATCTTCATTTGACTTTTACTGGGTGACACGAGTCAGCATTGGACTTCCATAACAGCTCTTAATAACTTTGGCTAGAAAGTAAAAGGAACCAGTTACTATTTTTAAATACAATTTTAACAGAAAATGTAGTTTTTTTAAAACAAGTTTTCAATCTTTT